CGGAATTTTCATGAATTTCTACGTTGTCCTCACCATCTGTATCACTCAAATCTTGAAAATCTTCTACAAATTGCTCGTCATCCTAATCTAATTAGTAGTAATTTTCGTAACTCTTTAATGTCACTTTCTTTGTCTAAATTATATGTTTTTTTATATTTGTCCATAATCATGCACAGTAAAATCTAAAACAAAAAATATAAATAAAACCCTCGCCAGGCGCGGTGTATCAAAATAATATCTGAATTATTATCTAACTATAATTCAAGTTTTACATGCGTAAATATACTCACCAAAATAAGTAAACAACAAAATTTAAATATTATAACAAAGTTACATAAAAGGGAGCAGTGTATCAGAATGATTAAATCGGACCTGACTTAACGCCCACACTGCTGATTGAATACTATATGTTGGCACAGTGTTGCCTGATTCTTTATACCAATTTTCTTCAATTTAACCTTAAAAATTCTTCATATTTCTGCAGAGATGTAAAACGTCATTAGATAAAAAAACCTTCTGACTGGATTAGATACTTAATAATATTAAAAAAAATATTTTTAAAAGTCAAATATCTTTTATGGTAAACAGGAGATAAAGTATTACAAATTAAAGAAAATGAATTAATTTTATAGGCAGAACAAAAAACTATACACCATGATGGAGGAATTAAATAAATTATTTAATTTCATTAAATCTAAATGTTTTTTGGTGACACACATTTTTGCAGAATTTGTACCTGTATCTTTAAAATCGGTACGCAAAGGAAATTAATCTATGAATTCAATGTATTTTCTTGAAGTCTGTTTCGTTTTTGTGTTTTCACATCATTCATTATTGAAAAAAACCCTTATAAAGTATTGCATTACACCATCGACATTCAAATTTTGTCTCTTCACTTGGCACTTCACAGAGCCACCCTGTTCGAGGATTTTGGAAAATCTTAAAATAAGATACAAAATACTTAATTATTATTTACTGTGACAAATGCACTCATTTAATTAATAATATTTACCCTTGAGAATCCTCTTCATTTGAACTCATTTTTAAATAAATCACATACACAATGCACATGTGCATGCATGCAAATCCTTAAAATATAATATACTAGGTATATTATAATTTTTAATATAGTAGGTATATTATATTTTATTGAGTTATGATTTATAAATTATAAATAAAATAAATATACCTATTTTATACCAATCATATCTATTAAAATTTAGGGCTTCCCCAGTGTAGCACCAGTGATGCAATTCGAGTCTTATACCATTTTACTGAGAGATGTCAGAATGCATATGAAATGAATAAAATAATTCCATTTAAAATTTAAATTTTAAATCATATTACAGTGTTAAAATCGAGTTAAAGAATTAAATAATCTAGAAAATTGAATACAATTTAAAAATGAAAAAAAACATGTGAATTTAAAAAATTCTTCATATTGTAATGGTTTTTGTAAAATATTCTTCTTTTCTTTATTAGCTCTCGATGTAGGCTAAAATTCTGCATATTGAAGAAAATTCTGCATTTCTGGCAACACTGTGTTGGCAGTATATAGAGGGGAGTAAGTTAGGAAGCTATTGTGACATGCGCGCCTATACGCGTATTTTTTAAGAAATGATTTGACAAAATGTTTTTCTTGTATCAATTTGAACGGCCGCGCCCGACGGAAGGTTAAATGCTGAAATATTATTGCTCGGCAGTAATTTATACGCGATTGGAGGTCTGGAAGCAATAGCTGATGGACTGTTTGCACTTTATACGGAAACAAGTCTTTTACCAATATACGCTTTAAAGATCGTCTACTGATATCTAATTGGGTGGCCCGTCGTCTGACTGATGTTGTTTGTTTATTTTGAACACTTTCATCAACAGCAGCGATCTTTTCGGCAGAACGACTACTCCGTGGCTGGCCGTACCTAGGTAAATCCCGTGTTGAGCCAGTCTCCAAGAGACAAATGGCTAAACTTCGCAATGTTTGTCCACTTGGAGTTTTAAGGTCTTCTTGACAAATGTCAAAGTCACGATGACAATTATCGCCAACTGTAAAAATAAGAGCATCTTCCAATAGGGTGATTACTTTTGCGCCACCTAGTATTTCCATTTTCCAATGCAGCAGTGAAAACATGATTTATAAATAATTATTAAGATTATTAAGAATATAAAGATTATAATCTTTTTACTGCTGCATTGAAAAATGGTAATATTAATAACATTGACATTACTACATTTAAATTCGGAAATATTTCCATGGCAGCCTCATTTTTGAAATGTAATATTTAAATCCAATATTGATCAGCACAACTTGTTGGAAAATTTAATGCCTTAAAATCACAGAGAGCATACTGTCTCCTTTCATTATTGAGTGTTTAAAGATCAGTTACATAGTTTTTTAAAATAGGTAATCCATTTATAACATGACTTAAAGATTTTGTCTTAAAAGATTGACATTCAAAGGCTCCACCATTTTTAGTATATTACACAGGGATGCTAATGTGCTCTTAGGCCGTTTAATAAATAAAGACAAATGCACTATGAGACGTGGGAGTGGTGAAGAGACGTAAGAGTGGTGAGGCAGGCCTGACCGCGCGGCGACGATCATCGCCCGACCGCAGACGAGAGAATGTGTTGTAAGTAAGCAGAAGTACGTTCGTTATAAATTAGGAAATATTCTCTAATAAAAATGGTTTACACCCTTGAAAAAAAGATTCAATTTATAACGTGGCATTTAAATGGGATCTCAGAAATTCAAAGATTATTTCCAAATATGTTCCCAAATAGACCCTTACCAGCAAGGGCAACAATTCAAAATGTTGTAAATAATTTTTTAACATTCGGCAGTGTTAATAGGGTTCATAATAGGGAACCGCAAGCAAGGCCAGTAAATGAAGAACGCGAGTTACGGGACACTTTAATTTTTGCAAGCAACGAACAAGATCCAACCCAGTCAACCAGACAAGTTGCCGAACAGTTCGATCTATCACGGTCTATGGTAGGCAAAGGGGTATAACCCATACAAATTAAAGAGAAGTTATAAGCAATTTCCTGATGATCCATACCGTCGCATGGAATTTTGCGAAACTGTTATAGAAATGGCGAACCGGGATGAAAATTTCACACGAAATATCCTTTTTACCGATGAGTCGTCATTTTTTATACGACGAATCCTCATCAGCATTATGCTGCCAATACACAACGACCACAAAAATTAAATGTTTGGTGTGGAATGCTGGGAGACCATATTATAGGTCCATTTTTTATAGATGGTACCTTAAATGGTCAAAAGTATCTTGAACTGCTGAAAAATGAATTTTTTCCGCAGTTGGTGCTCTGCCTGTGCCTTTTGAGTCAGTATGGTTTCAACAGGATGGATGTCCCGCACATAATACCCTATTGGTAAGAGAATATTTGCAGACCTCATAATAAGTGGTCACGGAAATATTCTCTGGCCAGCAAGATCACCGGACTTGGCTCCGTGCGATTTTTTTATGTGGGGATATGTCAAATCCAAAATGTACGGATTCCAGCATATCAGCGCAAATAACCTTGATGAATTAAAAGAATTAATAATTAATACATTAAGGAATATCATCCCTGAGATGCTGTCAAATGTACGACAAAATTTTTATAATAGGTTAACCTATTGTACAGCAGCGTTTGGGGGCCTATTTGAACATTTACTTTAATTTATTTATTTTTTTTTATTTAAATATTTTAGAATACCATTTTTGTTTCCACATTTACTTTAATTTATTTATTTAAACATTTTAGAATACCATTTTTGTTTAAGAATATTTGTTTTTTTAATTACAATAATACTATCGTTTATTTTCCACATTTTCTAAAAAAATTCAATAAGTATTCGTTTTTGTAAACAAAAACATATTTAAATTTTAAAGGAAATTTAAAATTCCTCCGACAGCACTCCAACGTAGACGGAGTAATACTGAGATTAAATCGAGACTCGATCAGTATTGCCAACCTCAAAATAAAAATTATGGTACACATTTAAAAAAATTATGGTACATTATGGTACGCACCAAACAAATATTATGGCACAAATTATGGTACATTTTAGGACTTTAAAATTCAAATAACTAGGCACTTTAAGAAAAGTCATTTATTTTTTTTAACAAAAACTTTAATAAAATAAAATAAATTAGGTACAAAAAAAATAATAAATTATTTTAAATTTAATTAAAAATAATATCGCATTCATCACAGTCTTGATTATTAATTAAATTGTCTTTAGTCATGTATTTGCACAATTTTTCTGAGGACTTAAAATTTATACAATTTTTTAAATTTTTATACCGCTCGAAAAAATCTTTTCTTAAAAACCACAGAGGTGAAAAACAAAAGTTTGAATAGAAAAGAACATAACAGTTATAACTGCTGCTAACCTATATAGTATATATATATATAGAACATTAATTTTCGTTAACAGCTGTTTATGAAAATTTAATACTATACTGGCAGGACTGATCGCAACGTTGCCTAATTTATTTTCGGTGCAAAAGTATGCTTAAAATTTATAATACTTAAATTATTTTAAAACAATATTGTAAAAAAAGAAATTATGGTACAATTATGGTATTATGGTACGGTTGGCAACACTGAACTCGATAGCGAAATTTGCGTCAAGGTTGTCTAGTAGTGGGATTGTACAGCAGTTAGAGGAGGGGAAGTTTGTGTTTGCTCCACCAACAAATTTCAGGTAGTATCGCGTCTGGGGACTTATTTCCTCTAAATTTAAGGACTTATTTCCTCTAAATCTAAGTAAATCTAAGTAAATTAAATTATAGTTTTTTTTAATAAAAAATTTTGCAGTAATTTAAAAAAATTACTTAATTTTGAAAGGTATTGCGATCTGATGATATCGTTCTCCTTGTTCATCCGATTCAGTTGGCAACTTCAGTCAAAGTAACGGAGATGATAATGTAAGTAGTGGATTTTTAAGGACATGTTGACCCCTATTTTCGAAAATGACTCCAACATACGAGCAACTGAGGCTTCGTAGTTCTCCAAGCGATGTTTGCCCAAAAATCCGTTTATAACGTCTTTTATTGCTTGCCATGCAAGCAATTCTTCATCAATTAATACTTGTTCAAAATCATTGCTTTTCATCAACTTTCTTATATCAGGCCCGTTAACAACTAAGAAGTTTACATAAAAATATAATATATTATGATGATTTATAAAACTAAATCCTTACTATTCAACAATTTTTGTGCGTCAAGTCCAGGAAAAATTGTTCTTAAGCAGTGAAAGATATTTTACTTTTTGGCAACACATTTTAAAAAGTTTTTAACGCTTTACATGAAGAAGTGGCATCAAAATTTTCTCGACAGGTTGTAGCATGCACATTTTATGCTACGTGTTTTTAATTAAGTAAACCATTTTTAGTCGTATTTTTATATTAGTTTCATGTAATATTTCATTTAAACATTTTTACCTAGGAACAACCCGTGATAATTTCAACCTTAGAACAACAATGCTTTGGTGTAGTTTTATCTAAAATAAAGATTTATTGTAAGGAAACACGTTATTTAGGGCTGTACTTATTATGTTTGACGTTCAGTTAAATCTGCAACGATTAAATATTAATCACTTACAGTTATGAATGCTACGATTGTGTTTTCAAATGCTCCACCGTACTGTAGCTTGGGAGACCTATGTTTGTTTAACTTTTGTTTACAGCCCGGCCGGATGTTACTTCAGTGAAGACAAGCAGCGTCGAGCCCATTTTTGTTCCTAGATTTCCTTATTACCTTTAGTTTGCCAGTAAATTCCATAGTTTAACCTTAAAACGAACAAATGTATCTATGTGGTTATCAATTTACCTTTAAGTTACCCGTTAGAGATTGTATCTGTTTGAGCGTTAGAGGCACTTATTCTATCTTGCCAATGTCTCAAATTTTCTTTTGAATATGCCATGTAGAACGTTTGTTTACTTTTGAAATGTCGAACCGGTCGTTAACCGGGTTGCCTACATTTTTATTCAGTGTTTTAAATTAATTATATTTCTTTGTTTTCCTTCATATATAATGGTTTCAGATCTAGTTTATTTAAATTTTAATATATACCTTTTTCAAATTTCATTTTATTTCAAATTTCATTTTTAAAAGTTTCCTCGTGGGATTGGTGGCGCATGCGCGTGAAAGTCCAATAGGAATTTAAGTTCTTCTAAGAGTCCTTTGCTGTTTGACCGCCAGACCAGCAACATGTCGATTTGACTTAAGTTGAGTGTTAAAAGTTTTTCAAGTGTAAAATCCAGTTAAAACGTGACGAAAGGGTCCAGAAGAGACACCGAAGAGCTCGATGATTGCGTAGTATCTGGGGTCTTGTCGACGTTTAAAATACTGAGAAAAACGCTGTAGCGTGCTCCGCCATAACCTCAACTTGGCTCGGATCGACATGTAAATAATCTGAATGTAGTATTTTACCGATTTTGACGATATTTCCCGGATTTGACTAGCACGCATTATAATGTGTGTGCTTGGCCTTGACAGATTTCCCTCTCCTGCAAGATGGTAGGAATGACGCTTCCCTTAAGCCAGATTAATTAATCTGGCTTTTACCTTATGCTGAATTTTACCTTGTGGTAAATTTTACCTTGTGTTGAAATTTTACCTTATGGTCAGTTTTACCTTGTCTGACAACATTGTCTCATGTACATGTCTTTGACTCGGCCTGACGCCACCTCCCTGATTTGACGACCTACAACCCACCGGAAAACCACACCGCTGTTTGTCTTCAACGAAGCCACCAGCCGGAGCAAGAATAACCAACCGCTCACTGGAGGATGTAAATTTGAGTATACTATTTTTAACTTTTAAATATTGAACTGTCACTATATTATTTTTGTTGCGGCTTGAAAGCCGACTTTAATATTTTTGTTGCGGTTTAAAAGCCGACATATTTCTATTTTTAATGTGAACCGACGATACGTATCAAAGGTAGAGTTGTTTGGTTTTACTTGGTTTATATACCAATATTTTACAACAATTTAATAATTTTGGCTGGAATGTTTAAGATTAGATTTCTTAAATTATACATTTTATTATAGTATATCCTCTTTAAGTTTACATACCTTCAAACAACTTTCAGCGTAAACTAAGTTAGATTAAATGACCGGTCTAATTTTGCAGTTTCCTACAAAAGGTCATTTGGCGCCCACAAGGTAAGCTACTGTACATTTACAAGATTACAAGAATCTTTATCTTTTGGTTTGTATTTTGTATTTCCTTTTTTTTGATATAGACACGTCACGATTTATTTATGTTTTTAAGAACCCACTTAACTTAAACCCTGCTCTCCACTGCTTTAATCCAAAAGCTGCCGTACGCGTTTATAATGTGGAATAATAACACGCCAGTGGAACACGAACAATATTTGAATTTTTAAACTGACTCTCACTTCTAGCAACCCAGTCATGAGTAGCATATTGGTCGCCACGGTATCGTGTATTTCAGTCACATAAAAAGCACATATGTTTTACATAGCCACCCTGCATGCCGCAAAGCATTGCCACCACCTTCAAATCGCAAAAAATTCGCCACTGGTTTTCGCTATAACGAACAACTTCCAATATAAATTTTAATTTGTCGTAAGTTTCTTTGGTATCCGTGCTATAAGCTATTGGTACGGCCGGCTTATTATTAAATTTATGAAGAAGGACAGCTTTAAGGGGTTCCCGGTCACTTTCCCGAATGCAATTTCCCGACTGACCGATTTCCCGATAGACCATTTTCCCGACGACGTTTTCCCCGACAGCACTCTTCCCGACAAAAATCTTCCAGTTAAGAAACGTTTTTCCCGATAGCCCTTTTCCCGAAAGATTATGTCCACGACAAAATTTTTATTATCTAGTAGAGAAAAACATACCTGGTCAAAAAGTTTATTTATTAAAAATTGACAAAAATTAACAATAGGTACACAAAAATTTAATTTATTTCTAAATAACGATGGTGTGCGCCAGGGCGCGTAAGTACTCTAAATTACAGGTCTCGTATTGAGAAACAATCCTCTGAATCCGAGTTTGTAATGTTAACCACTTTTTTTTGGCGCAGCCTTGACAGTTCGGCGAAGACTTAATTCAGTTAAACTGATTTCGGTATCCGCTTGTTCCTTCTGGAATTCTGTAAGGGCCAATGGGGCGGGGTCGGTTGGGTTGGGTTGTTGGGTTTGGGTTGGTTTTGAAGCGGGCGGACTCGGGACGTTGGTTAAGGAAAAAAGATCTGTTTCCCGTCCTAAGATTGCGTCATTGGATGACGTCACTCTGTTAAAATATATTGTGTCGTTTGTGGTAAAAATTATTTGTCTTAAAAATGACTTGTCGGGAAAATGGCTTGTCGGAAAAACGACTTTCGGGAAAATGGTGTCGGGAAAAATCTTGTCGGGAAAATGGTCTGTCGGGAAATTGGTCTGTCGGGAAAATGACTTTCGGAGAAGTGACCGGGAATCGCTTGAAGGCTAAACTTGGAGCTGTCAATAAATAAACGCCACTCATTCTTTTGGTACCTAATTCCCATTTCAGTCATTAGTTTTTTAATTTCGGTGCAATATGCAAATGACTTTTCAATGTTTACTAGGGTGCTTCATTTTTGGGCAACATTTTTTTTCGTCAAGTCCCACCTGAAAAACTTGTAATTTATAGAAAAACAAAATTTTTGAGCATATTGCGAGCCCTTAATTCGAATTTTAACCCACTGCTAAAGAATTTTGAATTTTATCCATTTAAATAACATTAAAAACTGATTTTTTATACGTTTTTCCTTCCGCTCACCCAGAAAAAAATTTTCTTGGGAATTTTGACTCATGGATTCTTGTTAGAGGTATGATTTGCTACAAAAAAGCCCACAGAGTCGAGTTTGTAACTCCAACGGGTTTGACGAAACATGTCATTTTAGCTGAATTTTCATGAAAGTAGCAGTAAATCGCGTTTATTTTCTAAACTATTGAAGATAGAAAAAAAGTGTTGAAGACGAATTTGTAGGGGGGTTAATGCCCTACAATTTCGTCTTAGGATATTTTCTCGTAGCTCTCATGGTTTAGCTATTAAAGCAACTTAAAACTTAAAATTAACAAAAAATTTTATTTTTGACGTCAATAATAACTAATTTACTGAATTTAAGTTGAAAAATTGGATAAAAAATTGTCTGTAATTGTATTTTTTGAAATTTTATAGCAGCAAAAATTTTTTAAATCAGTAATTTTACAACTATTTCTACAGTTTGCAGTTCAGAACATTTAAAAAAATTTTTATACGATTTTCACAGATAGATAAGGTTAAACTTCAAATTTATTAACAACTTACTCATTATTTTCTTCAATCAACCTTTTAAGTAACACATATTGTTTATGCTTGTGATCTATACTATAATTATGCTCAGATAAAAGCCTCTTTAGACCAAAGAACGATATGAAATTCATTGAAACTTTTTTTAAACAATTTTTTAGAAGACCATTAATTATCAAGGAATAGTTTTAATAGTTTTCAATCACATTCTATGTCGCTGGGTAAGCCGCTGAAAAGGCACTTTTAGTGCAACTGGAAATTTTTCGCCTATGATATTCCACAACACGTAACAAATATTGTTTCTGTTCTTCATTTTTTGTTATGCTGTTATTATACTCTTGAATCAATGCCACTCCTCTTTCAGCATTGTCATTAACCACACTCACTTCATTTAATATTTTTTGCAGTTTATATAGTCTTCATCTGATTTCCAAACTTCTGGATCTTTACTTAAAAAACTATAAGACAATTCAAACTGATCAAATAAAACTACAGAGTTTTTATTGATGAAGTCACTGATATTTGTTGTTAATAAGTCATTGAGATTTTTTGCGATGAATCTTCTTGGATTTTCAGAAGTACTTTCTTTGGTTTTAATAGCATGAACCATTTTTCTCTTATCTTCATTTGATACACTGTCATCGAAAAAAGCTAACGCAGCGAGCTCCTCCGACAAATACCATAAGTGTCTTGAAAATTTGAGGCTCGCATCATTTGAAATTTTTTTATCTATTTTTTTGTACGATATCAACTTCTGTAAAAATATCAAGTCGTTATATGGTGCTTTTATTGCAAGAGGAGCATTAAACCAAGCAGTGACGTAAAATTGAACCACAAATGAACAAATATGTCTTAATCCATTCAAATCTGGTGATTTCATATGGAATTGAGTTTGAAACATGTACATTTTCAAACTATACAAAGCTTTAGCGAGCCAACGAGCATGGTGGTTCGCACCAGGAGCTTTGAATCTCACTCCTTGAGTTGGAATTCCGCCTAAAAATATGTATGACAACTCCAGTAGCTCCTTATAGTCATCTCTTACATATTGGTGCTGAAATAGTAAATTTGGCATAGTGTTATTAATGGAAATGTTCATGATTCACATAAAAATAAAAGTGAATTTACTTTGTTATGAGATTTTCCAACTTCATTATACTATTTTTTAACTTTATCAAAAAAAAAAAGCACAAAAACTGGAAATGAAATCAATAATCTACCTGCAAGCGATCTTGAATATCTTGAAGGATTTCAGTTTGCTTGCTTCCAATCACATCAGTGACAAATTTATCTTCTAAACCAGTTACAAACTTATTTTTATCCATAATGGGCCATTTATTCCGAAAACGTTCAAAAATAGCAACGTTTGGAGATTTTGTTACTGGCCAAACACATTCAACTACGCTTCTTAGTACTAGTTCAAAAATATGGTGACGACATGCCAAATGTAACAATTTTTTGTTTAACTGCTTCTCTAATAAAACACAAGTTCCATTGTAATCTCCTGAAATACCAAGAAAAGGAAGATTATGATGATATTATTTTTAGCAACTGCAATCTGATATTGAATTAATTAGATATTTATTTGGAAAATATTTAGTATACGAAAATAGTTAACTATAATGTATGTAATTAAAAAAGAGTGAAACAATGCAAGTATAAAGTAAGTTTTCGTTGAAATGAAAAGAGAATTCAAAATTTTCATCGAAGCAAAGTAAAATCTATAGATAATTCGTAATGTCAATTGAGAGGAAAGAAAATTTTAGGTACAAGATTTGTAAAACATTCAAATTTATTATGTCATCAGAGAAATACCTGTGTTCACTGAAGGTGTATCAAAACACATAGCCTTAACTCGTTCTGTAATATTCCATTCGTCCAGTGTTTCACTGATTATCAATGCTTGATTTATCCCAGTCGATTTTTCAAGCTTGGGTACAGCTAATAACTGCTGAGTATTGAAACCAGATATTAAAATCGGAAGTCGATCAACTTTGATTTTGTCAACAATATCAGGCAGCATTTTACCGTCCCAATGCACGACTAAACTAGAAGCAGTTTGCAAATTTTGTTTCAAATCATTAGCAATCTGTTTACGCCCTTCTATACGATAACGACGAATTGTACTATGACTTGGTACTTGATCGGCATCATGTCCCAGGGCGGAAGCAACGGCAACGATGATATGCCATGCATTTCTATCTGTTGTTTTTGTTCTATCTAGCGCAGATATCACGGCTGGCGTAAAAAGTTTTAATTTTTTTTTGTTAGGTTGCTGAGGTAATTCGTCTTCAAAATCAGAAATAGATCGTTTCGAAACTACTGATGTAGAACTAGAAATGGAGTGTTGGGAAAGAGGCAATATTGAATCTGCAAAATTAGAAATAAAAGATAAAATCATCTAAGATTCAAGAAACGTATTTTAATAAAGCAAGAAGTAATTTTCGAAAATGATTCACTTATTTTAGAATCAATAGTTTTCGAAAATAGCTTAATCAGATTATAAAAAAAATTCAAAAACTCTTTTTTACCTGCCGTTTCCATTTCGTGATTTTCTATTACGATATCAGATTCTACTGGTTCAGTAACAGAAGATATCCCGGGCAAATCATTAACAGTTCTGAGATTATTTGAGTCGTAAAGTAGAGGACTGCTTTTTTTTAGTGATCGGCTAGAAAGTAAAAATTCCGTCTGAGCTGGATCCAGCGATTTCGATACATCATGACGAGCTATATCGAATAAGTTGTCAAGTGAGTGAACAAAATTTTCTTCAGTATTTTTTTGTTTCTTCGATTGTTTTCTTGAACTATTTTTTTGGACTTTCAGCCATTTATTATATAAACTTTCTATTTTATCAATACAATGTTGTGGTCGAGCAATTGGTATTGAAAATGTACTCCAAATTGCACTTATTTCACAATTAACCTCTTTAGAGCTTGCTTTTATTGTATATTTCTTCGTACGGATTTTATTAAAAAGCAAACTCAGAACATCACGATTTTTTGGTAATATTGAGTCATTAAGCTTATCTAACTCAAATCCAACCAAGTACATGTACTTTTTTTTATTATCTTTGACCGACATTTCTTTAATAAAAAGTACGTTTTCGATTGTTAAAGTTTTCTAGAACAATGGGCATCAAATTCATTGAAACAATAAGGTTAGATGACTATCATTATTATAGTAATTAATCTTAATTAGAGGGGATAACATTAGCATCAAGTACGCCGCGAGTTGAGGCTTATTAAAGCTCACAGTAGATTCGAGAATTCCCGGATCGATTGTGGCGGCGCTGATTGTTTGTTCTACAAGTGTGATTTGCAATAATTTAACACTAGTTCTTTCGATGTAAGTTCTCTCTAAAAATGAAATAGTCAAAATTCTACTATTTGAATTAGTAAAAGCATTTTTTACTAATAAAATAGTCGTTTTCACTTTTAAATAGTTATTTTTTACTATGTAAATAGTTAAAGTTTGACTAATTTAAGATTAGTCACCATATTTGACTTTTTCTGACAGTTAAAAGTAACTAATTTCTTTAGTCGTTTACGGCCAACAACAAAGTATTATTTGAATTAAATGCATATACCTCTCCATGGTTAAATGACCCATAAAACAAATAAAGATGCAAAAAGTTTAGCTCAAAATAGCAAGACAAATAATATATTAAACTTTAAAATATTATGAACCATATTTATTGACAAATAAAATTAATTTTTATAAGAGCGGCTGACAGCCGAATGCGTTAGGACGTTAGCTTGACAAACTTGTCAAGTGACAGACCTGAGTTCAATCCCAGGCTGGGTCAAAACTTTTTTTAAATTTACTAATTTGACTATTTCATTTAGTGGAATTTGACTAATTATTAGTGACTGCTTTTTCACTATGTCAATTAGTCAAATATGACTTATAATTAGTTATTTTTGACTAATTCATTTTAAGAGAGTTGGTGGCGTGAAAACCAAGGGCGGAAAAATTTTAATTCGAAAACTTTTCCAGTAAAATTAAGTAAGTTAAGTTCTAATAAATGGAGTAAAGTTGTGATTTGATAAATTGACTACTTGCAAGCAATTTTGACTTTGATAATCAGCAATAAATTAGGTGCGCAAAGATTTCATAAATACAGATTGAAAAAACTACTCACAAATTAACAAAACCTTTAAAATTGTTAATAAATTTGAAGTTTAATCTTATCTATCTGTGAAAATCGTATAAAAATTTTTTTAAATGTTCTGAACTGCAAACTGTAGAAATAGTTGTAAAATTACTGATTTAAAAAATTTTTGCTGCTATAAAATTTCAAAAAATACAATTACAGACAATTTTTTATCCAATTTTTCAACTTAAAGTTATGTTAATTATTATTGACGTCAAAAATAAAATTTTTTGTTAATTTTAAGTTTTAAGTTGCTTTAATAGCTAAACCATGAGAGCTACGAGAAAATATCCTAAGACGAAATTGTAGGGCATTAACCCCCCTACAAATTCGTCTTCAACACTTTTTTTCTATCTTCAATAGTTTAGAAAATAAACGCGATTTACTGCTACTTTCATGAAAATTCAGCTAAAATGACATGTTTCGTCAAACCCGTTGGAGTTACAAACTCGACTCTGTGGGCTTTTTTGTAGCAAATCATACCTCTAACAAGAATCCATGAGTCAAAATTCCCAAGAAAATTTTTTTCTGGGTGAGCGGAAGGAAAAACGTATAAAAAATCAGTTTTTAATGTTATTTAAATGGATAAAATTCAAAATTCTTTAGCAGTGGGTTAAAATTCGAATTAAGGGCTCGCAATATGCTCAAAAATTTTGTTTTTCTATAAATTACAAGTTTTTCAGGTGGGACTTGACGAAAAAAAATGTAGCCCAAAAATGAAGCACCCTAATGTTTACACAAAAATTTTCTTTTAAATCTGCACTTCGTTTGCTATATGCCGTTACCTTTGTCCCTTGTGCCAATAAATTGTTGGAATTCAAAATTAATGCCAGTATTTCAGATTTTCTCTGAGATAACTCTAACTTGGCTACAATATTATCCAATAAATCCTGCGGAATTTTCACTGGCTGGTTCGATGAAGATGAAGGAGGAACATATTCTGAAAAAAAATTAGGGCTACTAGGGGTGGTATAATTTTCAGAAAATGCTACACTTTGTGGAACCTTTAGGATTGGGATGGTATTAGAATGTTTTAATGGTAACTGAACACTTGAAACCCCAATATAAATTTTGTTTTTTGATTTAAGTTTGTTCAGTCCATTTTTAAAATTTACACACACATAAAATTTTTTTTCTTCGTGGGTTCCTGAATCGAACCAAAGCATTGGTACACCAAAAGGCAAAGCAGTTAACTTCTTCCCTTTCCAGCGCATAAGGGAAACGTAGCATGTTTTACATACATTTTTTGGGGCCCACGGTACATCAACAACCACATTAAAATTAAAATATAATGCATAGCACGTTTAGAAACTTTCCGTAAAGGGCTTCGCTTTAGATGGACCGGTAATGGGTACGAAATGTCCGCACACATAACAGAAGTTATTAATATTGCCCTGACAATTTGCCATGTTAAAAATATAATTTATATTCGCACTAAACTAGGTATAACGTTTAAATACTCAATTTACCGTTTAAGTTACAATATTTCGCGTTAATAAAAATTTTCTTAAAAACTGCTTCTTTACCTTATTAAATGCAAAACTTTTTATGTGTAATAAAATCAAAGAGTAGGTATATAATATAAGGAAAATTGTAATTGATAATGAAATGATAAATTTCTATTAAAAAAACCATTCAGAAAAACTGTTTTAAAATATTTTTGATCAATTACAATTTTCCTTAAAAACATTTAAATAAATATTTATAGCGAAGTAAGTTAATACAGATTACGCGAACGAGTTATTCAAACTTTAAGCGGTTATAAATTTTAAAGTCGAGCTAACTTTTTAAAATCCTTTGGAGGTTTTGGTTTACAAAAATAGTACTATCGACCCATCCAGACCGCATCCAGGTAATTTTTATACTACTCCAAAGTGTTATCTTTATTTTATAATTTATTTTGTACTATTGATTTTTCTTAAAATAATGAATTTTTCTTAATTTTGTTTGAATAATGCCCGTATGCACCGTTTTAAAGCCTAAGCCTAGTTAGCAAATCGCGATTATATTAATCTTCCTCAATCATAAGGCACCGTACTAGGATTGTGCAATCTGGATTGGCGATTTGGCAACGCTGTTTTATCTGTCAAAAAAACACAACAAAACTAAATTCAAATCGATTGATAACCTAAAATTTAAAGTGTTTGTTATATATGCATATGTATATGTATACAATAATTATTATATCAAAAAATTCTTTGATCATCCATCGTCTGGGCTTGAAGAGAAAGCTGAAGCATGGAAAGCAAAAGAAACCGAATTTAACAATACAGCACCTATTCTAGCCTTTCGCAGTCAAGAACAACTGAAAAGGCTGTATGAAAATAAAAAGAAAGATCTTCGAAAAAGTTTGCAAACCATAAAAAAGAAACTTATTTAACTGGGGGAGGACCTGCTCCTAAAGATGTACAACTTGACAGGGTAGATAATTTATTATCTCAAATATTAAATGAGAAGAGTGTTAAAACATTTTATTCAGAATTTGATTCTGATAATTTGGACCAGCAAAATAATGGTACAAATGAAAATTTTGAACCAAGTCTCAAGAATCAAAAAACAGGGCAACATGCGGATATTTTAATAACCAAGAGAAATAAGATGTTCAGATATATGAATTTGTTCCATTTGAAGAAACCGAAATTGAAAATATTGTAAGCATACGTTTGGGCAAACACATTATTTTCTAAAAAACATTTTTTAGGCAACCCATGATATTTTGTCAATACCTGATCAGGAATTTGATTATCAAAGTAACAGATGTTCACCTACAGGCCTACAAAAACCTATAAATCCAAAACTGCTCCCAAATATAGAAGCTTCTTCTGCCAGTAAAACAGTAAACACATCGGCAGGTAGAACCATAAAAACAAAACCCCTCGTTCAGATAGAAGGTGGCCTGTTGGAGGGTTCCTTGCTCTAACGTCTTCAGATGTTGGAGAAAAATACAACATATTATTGGATAAGAGATTAGTTTTAGTAGAAAAACATCTAGAACAGACCATAGAGTCAAAAACTTTTGCTCAAGAGGAGCATAGACAAACAATAAAATTTTGAGAATGGAAGAAGAGAATTTAAGATTGGAAAAAGAAGAAAAGATTTTAAAAGTAGAGCTGTTAAAAAGTAATATTCAGCTAGAACGTATATAAGTAAAAGAATTACATTTAGGTTTAAATATTTTTTTATGTTATTATTGGCTGTTTTTTGTCTGTTATTATTTGTTAGAAAATATGTTTATTTATTTATGTTTAAAAGCATTTTGATTTTAAGTTATATTTTTATGGCTGTTTTTTTTAAACAAATACAATATATTTCATAATATTCCCAACATGACTTATTTAACTGATATTTTAAATGAACATATTTTTTTTTGGGGGGAATATTATAAATCTTGTGACTGTTATATTGACTGATTATTTGTTTGAAAATATTTTTATTTTTTAAGTTTAAAAGTTATTTTGTTTTTTTTTTGCTATATTTTGTCTGTTTTATTAACATATTATTAAGTACAATAAATTTTGTTGGGAATATCAAAATAAAATGTATTTATTCAAAATATTTTTTTTATTTTAACCCTTCGTTAGTGTGCACAGGTAAATCCGCACGAGAGGTGTTCCGGGGTATGTCATACCCAAACTAAAGTTAGCTCAGGAAGTCAAAAAAAATTGAAATTTTGGATTTTTAATAGTCACGCATGTTTTTTTACATAATTGTGACTTAAATAAAACAAACATCGTTCTTGAATAATTTAATTTCAAAAATTTATTAATTAAAACAAAAATATATAGCAATTCTGCTCATGAAAAAAGTACAAGTGATAATTCATTACCAAAGATTTTGTAGGTCATCCCAATGAATAAAAACCCAAACCTAAACTATAAAAATAACATAAATTAACACAACTAAAAAGAAATCAAACTAAAATAATCAA